GAAGAGGATACGGACAGGAAAAAAAGAGAAAAGGGGAGATGGGGAAGAGGATACGGACAGGAAAAAAAGAGAAAAGGGGAGATGGGAGAGGGGAAACGGAGGGGAAGAAAAGAGGAAAAGGGATAGGTAAGGGGACAGGGAAGGGGAAGGGGAAGGGAGAAAGGGTTAAGTAAAAACGGAGGATGGGAGAGGGAGGGAAAGGGATAAGAGGGCGAAGGAGTTGGGGGGGGGGTGATAAGGAGGAGGAGGGAACAGGGAGGGGGTGAGCTTAAAGTGGAAGGAAAGTTTAAAGAAGATTTTGGGAGGGAGAGCGGGAAAGGGAAAGGTAGAGAGAGAGGGGAAGGAAAAGGGAGAGGGGAGGCGAAAGGTAAAAGGAGGGAGAAAGAGGGAGAAAGAAGTACCTCTTCTTTTTTCGAGTACTTCTGGTAGTAGTAGTAGCAGTTGCAACACCAGTAGTAGTAGTCATATAAAAATAGTGATAATAGTGATATTTATTATGACAATGATAATATTTATGATAATAATAATGATAACAGTAATAATGATCATAATCATAACAACAATAATGATCATAATAATATCAATAATAACAAAAATGATATCAAGATAATAACAATAATAACAAAAATGATATCAAGATAATAACAATAATAACAAAAATGATTTCAAGATAATAACAATAATGATTACAATGGTAATCATGATAATAATGAAACTCCTTCAAGTACAGTAAAGGCCCTTTCACATATACGCAATCTTACACGCGACGTCCGCACCGCCGCCCTTCGAGCTTCATTCGAGTTTGCAGTCGTTGCAAACCGTCTAGTCAGCGTCGGGGAAGTCCTTGCAAAGGGAGGGCTAGCTAATGAGTCGACAAGGTGGGCGGTGAATACACGTAACGCTTTTTTCGCGTAGTCCTTGGTGTGGCTAAGGACCTTGCAGAGATCGGGCGAGAGTCCTTTACATAAGGTGCAGCAATCCCCACGTGCTGGACAAAGCGTAAATCATATAACGAAAGGAAGAGCGAGAAAATAGGCAAATATGCAAGTGGCATTTTCGCTTCATTAGTTCTTCAGGGAATAAGGAAGCAATTTCAGATTTGACTTTTTTTTTTTTTTTTTTTTTTTTTTTTTTTTTTTTTGCTTATTCGTGTGTTTTCTTGTTCTTCCCTTCGTTGTCCTATTTACACCAATCTCAGTAATCGTCCAGCTCTAGTGCAGGCTTTGTTTAGCTTTCATTTAAGGCCGGACAGATGCAAGATGCAAGCCACGTGATAGATGTTAGGCGAAATGCTTACTTGATCGAATGCCGGACGATAGAGAAACAAGTGTTATCGATTATGGCACTTGGCATCACCCGACATACCCGCCGCCCATCGGTTCTCGCCATCTCTCCCTCTTGTTTTAGCTTGTCAATCTTGAGTAGGAGGGCGTCTAGACTCGCCTGCACGCCCATAATAAAGTTCAAGGTAAGTTGATCTGCTGGTTTTATGTCCGAAATTCTTGCCGATAAGATGTCTCCATGGTTGAGTTGCAATGCGAACCTTGTACTGAGTCTGACGTAGGACCTGGGAAGTTGGTGGTGGTGGGGGGGAGGGTTCTACTTGGACGTGGTTCTATGCCTTCCGGGGGGAGAGGGGGGGGGGACTTCGAAGCCATTCTGCATTCGTCCAGCAACTGATCACCGCTCGTCTGGAGAATCAGAGTGCATATATTTTGTTGTCGGGGACCAGTCGGACAGGAACTGTCTTGCGAAGATTAAATCCAGATTCTCTCTCTCTCTCTCTCTCTCTCTCTCTCTCTCTCTCTCTCTCTCTCTCTCTCTCTCTCTCTCTTCTCTCTCTCTCTCTCTCTTTCTCTCTCTCTCTCTCTCTCTCTCTCTCTCTCTCTCTCTTTCTTTCTCTGCCTCTCTCTCTCTCTCTCTCTCTCTCTCTCTCTCTCTCTCTCTCTCTCTCTCTCTCTCTCTCTCTCTCTCTCTCTCTCTCTCTCTCTCTGCCTCTCTCTCTCTCTGCCCCCCCCCCCCTCTCTCTCTCTTTCTCTCTCTCTCATTCTCATTCTCTCTCTTTCTCTTACATACACACACACTCACACACACACACACATACACACACCATATTCATCAATACTGACCTATTAAAAAAAAAAACTCAGTGCTAAAGTTCCTATATGATCCTCATTATGATAAGTTCCTGCGATCCTCAATACGAATTCCCAAGAAAAAAAACTTAAAATGATAATCACAGAAAGACAGGCGAGGTTGCTGTAAGTTTGGTGGATCGGAAGTTGTCTCTGTATAATAATTTCTGTTCATGTTAAAGGATAGTTTGTGGTTAAGAGGTAGCAAAAGAGATTGCTAAAGGAATTTACTAGGATTTAGGCTACAATTCTATCTGTCTGGTTGTCTGCCTGCCTACCTGCCTGTCTGCCTGTCTGTCTGTCTCTTTCTTTCTCTCTCTCTCTCTGTCTCTCTCTCTCTCTCTCTCTCTCTCTCTCTCTCTCTC